CTGCCAGCCCTGGATGGGTACACAAAAACCCCATGGAGCTCCTCGACTATCCCTCGGTGCTGCCATGCAGGTGTCACATCCAAACCTTTACTCCCCAATTAATTTACGGGTTTTTTCCATGTTGAAAGCCAGCTTTTCCACTACACTGTTCCTCTGGCCACCTCGTGCGGAGAAAGAGGCTGTGGTAGAGCACCGAAAGTACTTGTCTGAAGGTAGACACCCTGGATGGCCCGTGCCTGACCAAGATGGTTTCCACACCCTGGATGGGCCATGCCTGACCAAGATGGCTTCCTTGCACAGCTCAGGACAAGGAGTCTACACCTGCGTGCAGCCCTCAGGGCTAAACCCCATCCATATCTGCTCATCCCACCGCTGACGGTGCCCCCTCCCCCTTCCTTTTTGCAGAGGAACACCTTCCAAGCCACCCTGACCACCGACACCAAGACGTCCTTCATCATCCTCAACTATGAGGCTATCCAGTGGACTACAGGGAAGGCAAGCGGCGGTGATGACGAAACAGGTCTCGGAGGCACCCCGGCCCACGTACGTGGGGCTGAAGGAAAAGCAGAGGGAAATGGGACGAAGGGAGTTGAGGAATGGGGGAGAAGGTTGACCAGTAGTGTATTTTTGGGACAACACCAGCTTTGCCGAAGGTAGGACTTTGGCCCACAACGTTTTGGGGGAAAACAACACTGAAGATAGGACTTTGGCCCATAATTTTTTTTGTAGGGGACAACGCTGAAGATAGGTTGGCCCATCATGTTTTTTGGGGACCCCCACCAGGTTCATCTAAGACTGGAAGTTGGCCTGTACCATTCTGGGGGACAACAATGCCCATGGTAGGATGGTGGCCCACACCGTTTTGGGGGGAAAACACCAGGTTCACTCACGGTAGGAGGCTGTCCCATACCATCTTCTGGGGACAACGATGACGAAGGTTGGAGATTGGCCCATAACATTTTTGGGAGGACAATGCCAGGTTCACCGAAGATTGGAGGTTGGCCCATAACGTTTTTGGGGGACACCACCGCCAACAGCAGGAGGTTGTCCCATGCCATGAATCCCTCCGCATCCTCTCTTTTGGCTCCCTCTCCAGGCCGGCTTCAACAGCGGAGATGAAACCAACTTCTACAACATCCCTGGCTCCCAGACCGAAGCCATCATCAACATCACCCAGACCTCCAATGTCAACATCCCGGGGCGTTGGGTCTTCCAGGTGGATGACTTCAAGGTGACGGGGGTCCCCACCGAGGTGCCCAAGGTCGCCGACAGCAACAACTGCTGGTTGTAAGTCAGGTTTTTGGGGTGGAAACCTAAAAAAAAAGGGAGAATTGAGAATTGCTTGGAAAACCATTTCCTCCTCCTGAGTTCTTGGTTTCTTCCCGCAGGTAAATCAAGGCACCTGGGGCAGAGGAACTGTCCCCATCGTCCCCGTTGTCCCCCGCGTCACACGCGTAGGACAGGGTCGCACAGCGGGACGCATCAACCTCTACCAGAGCAATAAAATTGCAGCTGAGACATGGTGGCTCCTGTGTCGTCTTCATTCCTCATGTGTGTCCGCGTGCTTTTAGGGGGGTTTGGACTAGATGTGCATGAATTCATCTTTTTTTTTTTTTTTTTTGCCTCTTTGTGCATTAATTTACCTTTTATTTGCACTCCATGTGCATGAATTTACCAATTTTTGCCCTCTGCATAAACAAATATATGGGGGGTTGTGTCTGTACACACGAATTTATGATTTTTTGCCCTCTGTGTCCACGAATTTAGGATTTTTTTGGTACACCACGCATGCACATGTGACTTTTTGCCCTCTGTGGGCATAAATTTATGACTTCTTTGCCTGCGTGTTCAGGAATTTGATATTTTGCACTCTGTGCGCACAAATTTACCATTTTTTTATGCCTCTCTGCGTGCGTTTATGATTTTTTTCATATCCGTGTGCACGAATTTATGATTTATTGCCCTCTGGACGAAATTATTTTTTTTCACTCTGTGCATATATTTATGAATTTTTTTGCCCCTCTGTGTGTGAATTCATGATTTTCTTTATCTGTACAAATTTATGAAGTTTTGCCTTCTGCATGCACCAATTTATGATCTTTTTGCCGCTTTTGTACACAGATTTATGGTTTTTTGCCCTCTGTGTGCACAAATTGATGATTTTTTGCCCTTTTTGTGCAAGAATTGATGAGGTTTTGCCCCCTCTCTGCACAGATTTTTTTTTTTTGGTCTGTGTGCATGAATTTATTTGTTGCATTCTGCGTGCAAATATTTATGATGTTTTGTGCCATTTGCGTAAGTTTATGATTTTCTCCCTCTGTGTGTATGAATTCCTGTTTTTTTTGCACTACGTGCACAAATTTATAATTTTTGCCCAGTGTGCATAAATTTATCGGGTTTTGCCCACTATTGAGCACAAATTTACGATTTTTTCACTCGATGTGCATGAATATTTTTTTTTTGCCAGTGTGCATAATTTTTTTTGCACTCTGTGCATGAATTAATCATTTTTTGTACTTTATGTCATGCGTTTACAATTTTTTCCCCCCTCTTTTGCAGAAAATGGCAAAAAAAAAAAGATTTGCAAATGCTCTGGGCTCATTATATTTCTGATAATCCCGGATTTTTCCCGTTTATGTGCATTTTCCTACAGGAACGTGAGGCCAAGTGACTAATTTAGGGGAAAAATCCAAATTTTACGGGGAAAAAAATCACCTAAAAAACCCACAAAGTGGGAATTTTTTCCCTGAAGAGAAATTTTTTCCCTAAGGAGAAAGTGGTTTTGCACGTGGAACTGAGCACAAACACGCACCACACAATGTGCAACACACAGCACACAGCACACCGGTGTGCACAACGCACAACACTCGAATGACACACGTGCACATGACACATGTGCACAGTGCACACGACACACTCAGCACGCACACAACACGCGAGCATGCACGGCACAACACGCATGCAGACAACACGCTGCACACTAACGTGCACAACACGCTGATGCGCACAACACACCTTTGCACACCATGCAACACGTGTGCGACAACACTCCACACACACGAGGTGTGCACACAACGTGCACAACACACACCACGCAACACGTGTGCAACGCAGCACAACACAACACGCACTGGGTGAGCACACAACATGCATAACACACATTTGCACACCGCACAACACGTGTGTACAACACAACACAACACTCAACATGCTAGGTGTGCACACAGTGCACAACACACAACACGTGTGCAACACACATTTGCACACCGCACAACACGTGTGTACAACACAACACAACACTCAACACACACTAGGTGCGCACACATGTGCACACCACACAAGCACGCAACACGCTACATGCACAAGGCGTGTGCACAACCCATACCGCGTTTGCGCACAACACACGTACACAACACCAACCACAACACAATAGACGCAACACACCTCCCCAACACACACATCCCCACACACCCTGGGTGTGTGCACAACACACACTACTGTGCACAAACACACAACACACGTGAGGTGTGTGCCCTAAACACACACCACGTGCGACATCATGGCACAAAACTGCCGCACCCACAACACACTCTGACATGACACGATACAACACACACGCAACACACACACCCCCCACACAAAAAAAAAAAAA